TTTCTAATCTCTTTGGGGTTGTGTTTAACAGTACTTGCTACTAAAGGATGAGGACTTCCTAAATGGATTCTCATATCCACCATCAGCGATGATCCTCTAAGACCCCTTAACTAGTGTCATGAACTTATCACACGATTCGTCACTAACTAGTGTCAGTAGCTGTGATTGCCCATCGTAAGTTCATCATACCCACGGCCTTGATAACTGTCGGGTAAATACCGCATACTAGCGATGAGTTGACCTTACTACACTGACTATTATCATCAACTAAGATGATGTGTTGTTAATTAACACCCGATATCGGCTACCATAACATCGACCTATATTAGACACCTCTGAATATCCCATGCATTGTGAATGTAGACATGTGTTATCTTACTATACTTCCGATAAGAAACTCATAATCCCACTACAGAAACTTCCACCCTAGCAGAAGTGATGATAATGCAAGAATACAAGGTTGATGGAGATTATCGAGCAGCTCCAACAATAGTTAAAACAAAAAGGAATAAATTGATTATATCCATATAGAGCATCAAGGCGCCGGTTATGTATTGATCTACCCCAAGTTGGACTTTACGATTCTTACCACCAACAATCATCTGTGTATCAATAACGAGGTATATTGAGAAGACTAATGCCCCTATAGAGCCATAGACAATCTGCAAATATCTATTAGTTGGGAGGAATATCATAACTAGACCCATAAATACCAATACCATCAATAGGACCAATGCAAATGGACCATAACCCGTGAAATCAGTCTTGACGAAGAAAGCGAATAATGTGAGTACAAATACAGCAGCTGCAGTAGAGCCAGCAGCGATGAGTACCGCCTCAGTATCATAATATACACCGATAAAGCCGATCATAAGACCCATAGAGGCGGTGAATATGAAGAGTAGGATGTAATTGATAGGTACCTTCTGGCTGGCAGCAGGTACACATACCAATACGATAAGGGTAGCAAACATAACCGCCATACTGAGCCATAACACCCACACGTAGTCATTCACAAAGTCCATCGCCCAATCATCTTTGCCGTATACGAATGGGAAGGCTATCAATGATGTTATTACAAGTTGGGCACAGAGGATACCATACACCTGAAAGGAAATATAGTCGGGCATATAGGAACTAGTAGTTCACTCGA